GGTCATTTGAGGTATATTGCATGTATTGCTTATTTTAAATTTATTAGTAGACTTAATGAGTAAAACAAACAACCTTAATTTCTGTCCTAGCTCTTATTAGACAGCAAGATATTGTAATCACTAAAGGACTTGAATCGTCATTGTCTTCCAGAGCATATGTTTGATATTTCTTTTGCCTACTGTCTAGTCCTTTTGCTTTGAAATTAGAGGATGTGCTCACTATGCTTTCATGTGCTGTCTCTTCAATTTATGCTCAAAGGCATCCTGATTATTTTATTGCATCAACGCCCGTAATCCATCTATGTATATTGAGTTTGTTATGACACTCCATTTGGTGTGTCTTTTTTGCTTTAAGATCCTCAATTTTAGGAATATGAATTTTTCTAGGAAGGACAATGTTCAATGGCTTCCAATGTAAAAGTTTTATGTTTCCTGGGGATCTTGTAATTGCATAAATTTTTATGCACATAGGATTTCACAAAAATGTACTAGCGGATAGCCATACTCTAGAGATCAGTTAGTAAAGTATTTCAGCTTTAATCTTGTGGTGATATACTCTATTACACAGTGTGTCAGATTTGCTCGACTACATCAATCCAAGTCCTGATGCCAAAGGGAGAGATGTTGGATCAAAAAGAAAAGGTTTTGTCTCAAAGGTACGTGATGCTTAGAATACAATATCTTTCTTGCTTGCTTATGATTTTCCAATACTTATCAGCATGAATTGGTCTATGGAAATAATCTTGGACAAAGTAGTTCATCTTATGAAAACTTGTTATAAATAAGCAGTAGCAATTATGTTATTTCTGGAAGGTCTACCATCTGTAATTCCAGTCTGGAAAACTAGTTTAAAGAGAACTGGCACTGTTTAGAAGCTTTGACATATTTCTAGGGGGATCCTTTTGTTATTTTGGGAGATGTATCTGGTTATCAGCTCAAGTTTTTTGTGCTGACTTTATATGTATGCCAATGTTACCAATCTAAAAAAGGAAGCTTTGACATCTTTCTGGCACTCTAAGGTCTGTTTGCCTTTCCTGTTCTTCCTAAGTATGCACTGTAGCTTGAAACTTGAGGCTGACATTGCATGTGCCTGATAAACTACCTACCATGCTTTCTAACGAAACGTGCAAACAATGCTCTGTAGATGGTTAAGTGGATCAGCTCCCCTTTTCTTATCCTTCCTCTTTCTCTCATTTTTTTTTTCAGGCTTTTATTTCTCAGGTGAAGGGACAATCTGATCAAAGCAATGTTGCCTCACCAAACTCTGACACTCCTAAAGATGTCCTAAAAGAAGAGTCAGATGAGGAGAAACAAATTGTTGAAGATCATACTGATCCCAAGATGAATTTGGAACCCGTTGACACAGTAGTTAAATCCCATCACAATGGAGATGAAGAAATTGCTGAGGACAAACCCGTTCATTTGGTGAAGGAAGCTTCAATTGAGAAGCCTGTTGTCCGTGAAGTCTTATCTGAACCTTCTGCTGAAGCAGAAGATGGATGGCAGTCAGTGCAGAGACCAAGGTCAGGTGGTTTCTATGGACGAAGACGAAGGCAGAGGCGGCAAACCATCAGCAAGGTCATTGGTTACCAGAAAAAGGACTCTGTTTCTGAGGTTGATTATGCTAAACTGAAGAATAACTATCAAGCTAGTAAATATTATGTCTTAAAGAAACGGACATCACCAGGAAGTTATGCAGATTATTACATAGCAAAAAATCAATCTCCTGGTACCAAACTTGGTCGAAGAGTCATAAAAGCTGTAACCTACCGTGTCAAGTCTGTGTCATCATCTGTCAGAGAGGCTGTTCCTGAGATCTCCACAACTGGAGGAGATTTGTTAGCTACTTCGTCAGAGCAGGTCCAAGTTTCTGCAACAAAAGAGGTTGTGTCACTACCAAAGAGAAGTTCGATTGTAAACCTAGGAAAATCTCCTTCCTATAAGGAAGTGGCACTCGCCCCGCCAGGTACCATCTCTATGTTGCAGGAGAGAGTTTCTGAAAATGAAGTTCCTGATAATCCAGACGTTCTAAAAGTTGGGGAGGAGAGCAATGGAGCAGAAGAAAATTCTGAAACAATGAGAAGAGATGCAGAATCCATAAAGCAAGAGAACATTCAGGATCTTGTTGCAGATTCTGCTGATCAAGTACAAAATGAAACAGAAGATACTGACGATAAAGAAGAAATTCAACCGAGTGATCTCAAAGGTGGTGAAATTTCAGATGTGATATCTGCAAATGCATCTGTTCAACCCGGTCATGTTGATGTTAGTCCAATGGAACAGGGAAATGTCCAGACTCATAATGTTCCTGCTTCTGACGATTCTCCCGAAGTGGATTTCTGTGAAAAAGACTCATCAAGCAATTTGGATCCTAGCTGTATCTCGAGTTTGACCTTGCAAGACATGGATCATCTGAAGGTAACAGTTGCGTCATCTCTTACATGTGATGCAAGTCGAGAATTGTCGAGAAAGCTATCCGCATCAGCAGCACCATTCAGTCCCTCCCCAGCCATTGCCCGTGCAGCACCGTTACCTATGAACATTAATCTTCCTTCTCCTCCTGGAACACTACCACCCGTTGGCCCTTGGTCAATGAACATCTCTCTTCATCAAGGACCACCAACTATGTTACCCAATCCAATGTGCTCCTCCCCTCATCACCTGTACCCTTCACCCCCGCACACCCCAAACATGATGCACCCATTGCGCTTTATGTACCCTCCATATTCTCAACCCCAGACGATACCTCCAAGTACGTTCCCGATGAGCAGCAGCAATTTCCATCCGAATCATTATGCTTGGCAATGCAATATAGCTCCTAATGCATCTGAGTACGTTCCTGCCACAGTTTGGCCTGGCTGCCACCCAGTCGAGTTTTCTATATCACCACCTGTGATTGAGCCTATAACTGACTCAATTTCTGCTGCTAAGGAGCCATCTGATAACCCTGAAAGCATTATTTTGGCAACAAGCTTACCAGTAGATCTTAACACTGGGGATGAAGTTAAGGAAGAAGTAAATCTTCCAGCATCAGATACGGGGGAGAGCTTAGCTGCGGTTGGATCAAAAGAGAGAGCAAGCAGCACTTCAGATTCACATTTTGTTACATTGTCCAGTAATCAATCAGAAGAGGGTAATGGATCAAATGAGAATGCTGTGCAGAGAAATCCTACGGAGACTGATAAGGAGAAGACCTTCAACATTTTGGTACGGGGCCGGAGGAACCGCAAACAAACTCTAAGAATGCCGATTAGTTTGCTCAAGAGACCATATTCCTCTCAGCCCTTCAAAGCTGTATATAGCAGGGTTATAAGAGAGACTGAGGTTCCCAGGTCTACCAGCTTTGATCCCCAGGAACATGGCATAGCGACTGCTACTTGAGGTGGTTTTTATGTCTTTTACTAGATAACCCTAGCAGGATGGTCTGTTGAAGCTGAGTATACATATCTGTTGGTCATATACAATGACTGCTGGAATTTATTGCTGTTCTGGTTCTCATGGCTTTGATGTTTGTTGGCTTTCAGACTGTGCCACAGATTGACTTAAAGGTTAGTTCTGTCCTTACCAAGGCTATTTTCCTGCTTCCAATTGGGCAAAAAGATCATCCTTTGCTTAACCGTCCTTTTAACTTTTGGGAAAGTAGAGCTACATCTAGCTTCTTCTGGACCGACCTACCGATGGGTTAACATTAACAGAATAATCTACCTTTGAGATACAGTAGAATTCTAAAAAATTCAGTGAGTACAGTGTTGACATATCAGTAAGTGAATAAGCTAAGTTGTAGTCTCATGTAGCAAATGGTTGCAATCCTATATCCTTCTATAGAAAGACTTCAAGAAATGATCGAAACTGTATACTGTAACTGCTAATGGGCGCTATACTTTCAGTTCTTTGATTAAATCTGATATTAATTTTACTCCATGAAGCAACAATGTATGGTTTCCGCTTATACATGTTTTTTGTTGATTTGCAGGTTTACTTCTCAATATACTTTTTGACGCGAAGGAGTTGTCTTTTTTTGGTTAAGCTTCATTCACAGTTTGGTTAGAACATTTTTGTGTCTTTTTAGAGCATAGTGCAATATAAAGTTCTTCTCCTCGTCATTTTCTCAGTTGCTAGTGATTATTGGTTTCACTGACTTGTATATGATACCAAAATTTTCGACTGCTCCAACAAAGTATATCTGGATCTGATCTAGGACTGGAAGTTGTACGCAATACATTTTGCTCTAAGTTCAAATCTAACATGATTTGAAATGAATTCTGAGATTTTTGGATTCCATTTGGATGGTGTAGAAAGGAAGCTTGCAGAGGCACATTTATCTACTTACAGTATTAGTAGAATCTCTTCATTCCTCCTATAGGGCTGGCTGGCTGTTATCAAAGTAATCATGTACTAGCATTCATTGTAAGAATATTAGGTGTCTAATAACAGCTCTGATGAGCAAAAGGGTGAGATACTTACTGATTCAATGTCACGATACTATACTATTGATCTCCACAAACAAATGTTTGCTAGATAAAAGTTGTCAATACATGTAATCCCTTCAAAAGCACTAAAGAATGTGAAATAAAGAAGGGAAAGTTCAGGTCGTCCTTCAGAGGAGAAATTTTTAAGAGCACTAGCAAAAGTGTTGAGTTTGTTTCAAGGAGGCTTTGGCCCTTAGATGTGCTGAGCCTGCAGAATCCAATCTCATCCACAAAAGCATATTTGGGATGGAATTCTGTACAACTTTTGTGAAGAGCACTCCTAATGTTGAATGAACTTAATGTTTGTTGGGTGGGGGTGGGGGGAGTTCTACTTGTTCACCCAGTCTACCTATAACAATTATATTTTTTTAGATTTATGCTAGATTGAATTCATAGGGTAGTTTGAAGGAAGAGTTGGTTCATCCAACTTGTTTAGCCTTAACAATGTTTCCAAGATGATGCATGCCAACATTGTTGAACCGAGAACAAATCCATAGCCTATTTTCCATCCTTGCTCTGCGCCTGCATAATGCATCCCCAATACTATGTTCACAGCTCCAAAGAAGAGAGCAATCCTGCCCACCCAACCGTGATACAAATTCCAGTACTTGCGATACTTGCTGTCTTTATCTGGTCTTACAAAGAATGCCAAAACCTGCATGTGAATGTAAAATAAAGTGAGTCTTCTATGATCCTAAAATATGGGACATAACATAGACATGACACAATTTGTTTTTTCTTTTTAAGAAAAGCAACCATTCAATAGAATGAGGATGTTTGTCAATCTGAACTTCTGTATTCTGTTCTCCATGTTTAGTGTTCCAGCAGCTAAATCATAGGTTTTAGCATATGGTCAATCAGGTTATGAATATCATTTTTGCTGAATGAGATTAGGGACAAACCTGAAGAATACTGAGCACAAGAATAAGAATGCCTATGCCTTGATGTCCTGGAATATGAGGTTGCAGCATGGGTCTTCTTTGAGCTCATGTAGTTAGTAGGTGTATCAGTGGCAGCAAATGAAGTACCTAAGGAGAAAGAGAAAATCATCTCAACTAATTAAGTCTAACATCTAAGCACAAGCTTTATAGAAGACGTGGAGACACACTGAGAATTGCTAATTGCGAAGGCCATTGCTTTAGTGCACATTTGATGTATTTGTGTCAATTTTGATACTCTTGTTAATTATTTTAGAAAAAAGGCAGTCTGGTGCACTAAGTTCTACGGAGAAGGGCCGGACCACAAAGGTCTATTGTACTGTACGCAGTCTTACCCTGCATTTCTGCAAGGGGCTGTTTCCACGGCTCGAACCCATGACCTCCTGGTCACATGGCAACAACTTTACCAGTTACGTCAAGATATACATGATATTTGGAGAGTCAGAGATGACCAGACCTGAAGAGAAGTCGAATCGTATGGTTGTTTTGTCCTCATGAACAGTGAGATGGTGGTGCTGAGGAGATTTGGTGGAGAAAGCTAGTAAGATTGGTTGAGTTTTGAGAGGAGTTGGATACTTCAACTGGAAGGCCAAGTAAACTGTGGCCCCTTGAATATAGATAATGGGTGGAACACTTGTCAATGGCAGCTCCCCTTTATCTGGTATGATTTTTGAGGGAGTGAATCCCTCAACATAATACTGTTTGATTTTTCCATGACCTGCTGGAGTCACCCATCCAACCATACAGCTAGAATTGATCATCATTCCATCGAGGGAGAACCCCATTCCTATCCATCCCATTGTGTAAATAGTTGATAACACAATAGTGACCACATTATCTTTACTCTCAGAGTACTGTAATCAGAAATTAAGTTGAAGTCATTATAAGCTATTGATCTCCAAAAAATAGCCGATAGTAGTGTCATATATTCCCTCTGGAACAGTTCCAGTTTGTTTGACATCATTTCTTTTTGTTCTGTCTCTAAAAGATTGACTACTTAGAAACTCTAAATATTTACCTTTTAATTAGACGATCCTCTAGAGGTTGACATTAGATTATGTGTTAAAGACTAATTAATGCATATTAGAGAGTTGCATAATGTTAAGAATACTTACACGTAGCAGGAAAGAGTTCCAAACAGGTTGACAGACCATATTTTCAAGACCACCATAAGGAGGAGGAAGAAATTCTGCAAGATTAACGCTACAAAGCGCTTTTGCATCTTCATCAATGGCCATAGTTACCATATTCTCTCTTTGAAAACCAAACAATATCACAAAGAATATTGACAGCACCAACAATCTTGAGATGCCATCCATTTTCTTTCCTTTTTTCTCCCTCCCAAGATTAATAAAAAATTGGAGCAGCCAATATTGTGTAGGCAATGAAGGAAAGAAATGGGGAGATAAGAGGAATTTTGTTGAGGATCAAAGTAGGTAAAGGGTGTTCGTTAGTAAATTATTTTCTTGGAATTGAAGGTTTAGAGATTGAAGAAGGTGGTGGGGATGGTGGTTGGAGGTGGCTGGTGATTATCATCATTCTCATCCAGCTGAATACTTTAACAACCAACATTGATAGCAATAAAGAAAAAACCTTCGAACTGTCGATCATTACCAAATCTCTAACAGCAGTTAAATTAGCATTTGCTAATTATATTTATGTCTAAGAGGTTTGTTATATAATAGATGGTGATATTTGAGGTTAGTTTTCCCTCTTCAACATCAAAAGAAAATGAGAGAGAGATGTAGAGGAATTTTAGGGATGGGGTAAGAAAAAATTGTCCTGTGGATATCACGGATAAGATCCAATGATCACGTCACATGTGGATTAAAAACTAAATCGTGGAGAAAAATAACTGGGAGAAGCAACTAATCATGTAGAAATGAATCGAGGAACCGTCTAAAAATTACAAAGTTAAGTACATTTACATATTTTCTCTTGAGAATTAAGAAAGGACATGTTCCCCAAGTTTTCTTCTGAATTTAAGTCTTATTTAATTTTTTTTAAATCTTCGATTAAATTATATTCATCATAGGAAAAAAAGAGAGAGAACTAATGTCGCTTTATAACAAGCACGACAACAATATTATTCTAATTTCTTTTTGTTTGACTATGAAACAGTAAAAACAAAGATGTTTGACGAAGATCCTAGCTTTGATAGAATGGGACCTTATTATAGTGTCTTCTTATGCACTACTAAGCTGTTTTTGTTTATATCACGGAGATTTTAGTCTAGTTTCTTTTTATTTTGGGATCCTGCACAGCCTCCTAAACTAATTACTGCTAGAAATGCAATCACATGACAATTAATGTTGTTTACCGGAAAAATCGGATAACGTTAGATTTGTGTATGGTTCTAAGGATATGCGATACAATTCGATATAAATCGCATAGAGAAATAAAAATATGTGTATTGTTGGCTGTGAGAATGAAAATAATAAGCAAAAAGGAATGAATAAGTAAAACAAACATAAGGGGATAACTATCAATATAAGAAGTGATCTTCCTTTCTTTTTTTCCCCCTCCCTTTGGCTTACAAGGATTCCCCCTTTTATAAAAGAGGGTTATTACAAAAAATAATAAAATAAAACATATAGTGGAACGGCTCTTCTTTGATTCCCGCCAAGATTCTTTCTCTTGGTGCGGTTGCAACGGCTCTTGTCTGTGAGCTCGATACTAGCTCGAACTCGTTACTGGGTCGGGCCCTTCGGTCTCGGATCGAGTTCGACCTTCGAGATGGACGTCACGTACTTCCGACATCGAAGCAGTGCCTTGCGGATCGATTCGGTCATGGGCTCGATAAGATTATCGAGCCGCCTCCTCGAGTGACCTTCGGACTCGAGGTTCGTTAGTACCGATCTCAATACTCACTCCCAAAACCTCATTCCGGCTTTTTAAGCCTCGAACTCGATCGAACGCAGGAAGGCTAACCGCATACAAATGTGCTTCTCAAAATCAAAATAAAAGTCTTGCCAACAAAAATCGTTGTCAAGCGGGAAAATTGTACAAACTTGTTTGACCCTCAAGTAATAATGGACAAGTTCCAACTCTCTGGTACTTGGATAGGGCAGGCCAGAATGTAGCCCACCAAGACCAACCTTATGGGACGGCCCAACATTCCACCACCTTGATGCCCTCACTTGAGTTACAAGCCAACGTTGCTGAGCTCGGCGTGCATTGTTATCTCATAGGCTCTTATAAACATGTGAAGATCATTCTTCAACATCGATGTGGGAAGTTTTTACTTGCATTTTTTAATACGGCTGGTATTTGACATTCTCTCAAGTAATTAATGCTAAAAGGCCACCATGTAAATAATACAAGTAATACTTCATTACTTCTACCATAATAATCTATCTAGAGAACCAAATCTATGTGATGATACCAAGTGTAAAAACAAAAATTTAACGAAGTGTCAAATTTAGGACAAAGCTCCAACAACTTTGATTCAAAAATTATTTTAAAAAAAAGAAAATGATAAAAAAAATTAAAGTCACAAAGAAATTAACTACCTAAAATTAACTACTCAAACATGGGTGAGGGTTGGTTTAGGTTAGTTTATTTTTTTGTTTCTTTAAAAAAAAAATCATTTTCGTTTTATTTTTAACAATAAAAAATGTATTTATTCATTAAATTTTAGACAATATTATTGAGAACAATAGAATAAAATTTAAAATAAAAAAATATTTCAAGAGTAATAATATATATATCTTCTCTTATATTACAAAAAGAAAGCGAGCAGATAAAAATATTAATTAAATTAATATGCTAATAAAAATTTCATTAACAATGTAATAATACTAAACATTGGATAATATAATAAAGAAAAATATAGAACAAAAAAGTTATTCAATGATTATATAAGTTCCTTTAATTTAATATAGATTTTATTATTGGGTATATCATATTGACAAATAAGATGAAAATTGAAATTTATTAAAGCAATACGATCTAATATTTCAAACAAGCCCGATCACAATTTAATTTAATTAATATTGAGCGCGCATCGTGCAGGTATGACTACTAGTTATTGTAAAGGGAGGAGTTAAAAATTTATCTGGTGAGAATACTAGTTGAGGATAGAAAAATGAAGTCCTCCGATCACTACTAGTTATTGTAAAGGGAGGAGTTAAAAATTTATCTGCTGAGAATACTAGTTGAGGATAGAAAAATGAAGTCCTCCGATCACTAATTCACTATAGGAAGCAGGATGTAAGTATAGGGTATGGCTAAGAACTATATATATCTGTTGTTTTAAAAACTTCAAAAAAAGAATACATATACTAATTCTACACCGGTTAATACAAAAAGTTAAAAATGAAAATAATATCTCAGCAAAGTGGTATTTCATACACACTAACTTATAATCTTGAATTAGTCTTTGGAGTACATAACAAAGTGATGTTAGGATAAAAATTCATGTTTTTGCATGTAATTTGTCTAGCATTATATCTTAATCTTGTTAATTTTGGTGTAAATTGTAAAACTCCTCAAATTTATAAAAGTTTCAACACACGCTAATTATAGAATTTAATTTTTTAACCCTTGCCTTGAGTGCATAAAAATTATACTTCTATTACGGATTTAACCCCTGGTGATTGACTTTTGAGTTACTTCCCCATTTAAAAATAATTGAATATATAATTAGGGAAATATTAATAATATTATATTATTAATTATTAAAAGTGAGTATCACTAAATACTTGTTAAATCAAAAAAAGAAGAAGAGCAAGACACTTAAGAATTGGGCCTAAAGCCCATAGAACGATCTGTTCAAAGAAAAAAGGAAAAGAATGAGAGGTCAAGGGCCGGAAAAGAAGGCATCGTGTAGATATTCAAAACAACAATAAGATTTAGACTTGAAAAGTTACAAGAAGAAGCTTTAGAAAGAAAAGATTTTTGGAAGTATCCTCTATTCTGAAAAGGGGTCATCGTCCAGGCCGAGGGTCCTAATCAAGGCGTTGACTTCCTGAAACTACTTGTGCCGAAGAATAAAGTACAGTTTTTTTAAAGAAAGAAATAGAAAAGAATTTCTTTTAGAATATTCATAAACTACTATTATGCAATTATTTTAGAATTGTTCTTTAAAGTTTTATGTTTTTCATGCATTTCGAATCTTTGCTCGTAATGTATATTTTATTAAAGTTTCGTTCCCTGTCGTTAAGACTCACTGAGTACAATGGATGGTACTGACGTTCTCTTTTGGGAACCTACATTGGTCTGCGGTACAACGTAGGAACCGGTTTTGCAGGCGAACATGCTACGGGTTAGGATTTTTCTCACTTCCAGTGCTATTGGTGAGCTCCGCTTTTGTTCATGGAGTACACCTTTGAGTCGTCATTATTTAGCTATTTCTTTATTTACTTAGAGAACTGGCCAGAAAATCTCATGTCTTGAGTAGTGCGTCAGTGTATCAGTAGAGGCTTCATAGACTCAGTCGGTGGGTTAAGATTCAGCTGTTTTTGATAATAACTTAGCAGTATTTCAGTGGTTACTATGAATAAAATTTTGGAGTTGGTTTATTTTAGATATTTAAATTAATTAAAAGTACTTGGTTAAAGTATTGCCTTATTGTATATAAAGTTTGAAGTTACAACATATTTGATAAGCGCAGATGATTCACTCGGGCAAGTTTAGTAATCTGGTGCCGGTCACGACTTGTTTAGAAAATGGGTCGTGACAAACTTGGTATCAAAGCCTCAGGTTTATGGAGTCCTAGGAATCTATGAAGTCGTGTCAGTAGAGTTTTATTTATGTGTATAAATCGTGCCATATTTATAAGTAAGAGGCTACAAGCATTTAGGAAAAGTCTCATTTTTTTTCATACTTTAGATTGTGTAGTAGAGCCTACCTCTAAGAAATTATCTAATGTATTCGTTTCTCCAAAAACTCGCAGAAATGGCTCGTACCCGTAATTCTGACACCGACACTCAAGATGCTACTCAAGAAACTATTGCTACTATTGTGGCTCAAGGTAGAACTAAGAAGGTTTCAACTCATAAAAGGAAGGGTAAATCCACAAAGGGCATTTAAGTACCCCGGGTTGAGCATGAAGAAGGGATGGAGTATGATGAGCAAGTACCCCAGGATCCAGTGCCACCCCCAATAGCAGTTCCGGCTCAGACAACTATATCTCTAGATGTGTGTCAGATGTTTAATGCTGTCAACAGTGCTATGGAGCTATTTCAAGCCTTCATGGCCAACCAGAACGAGAGAAGAGATGAGATTCCACCTCAATCAAATAGACATAACAATTCTGAGTCCTCAAGATTGAATGGATTTTTAAAGTTGAGTCCTCCATTGTTCCGTGGTATTATAGTTGATGAAGATCCAATGTTGTGGCTGGAGGGTGTCAAGAAAGCCCTCCGAGCGATGAAGGCATTTGATGATGAAGCTGTGGAGCTGGCTGCCTACCAGCTTAGAGATGTGGCTGGCACTTGGATTGAGATGTGGGAAAAGGAAAGAGATGAAGATGATGGTCCGCCTACCTGGGAAGAATTTGACGAGGCCTTTATGGCTAATTTTATACCAGAAGAGGACAGGGAAGCTAAGGCTACCGAGTTCGAGCAGCTCAAGCAAGGGAATAATAGTGTTCAAGAGTACTACATGGAATTCATAAGGTTGGCTAATCATGCACCTCACATGGTTAAGATATAAAA